TGTTTCCTTCACTTGCATGGGACTGTTGTTTTGCAATTTTGCAACTTCTAAATTTTCATAGATGGCTCTTCTTCAAAATAAAAAGTTATTGTCACCCAACCTATTCTAATTGTCCTCACCACCAAACACAATGATAATAATAATATGGGCTACCCATATTGTTTCTCCTCATAATTGCATACAGCTTATGTTTAATTATGCTTTAAGTTTGTTCCAACAAGAAATATGGTAAAATATTTACAGCTTTAAGCAAATCCCATATCTTCTTCACATGCACAAGCATTTACAGTTGTAAACCAGACGCATAACATCTTAATGGAGCTCCATAAACTGATGTCCTACTTAAGCTGCTCTCATGGCTGCACAGGCAAGAGCCCCATGGCCAGTGTTTGTCATATGATAAATGTAAAAATGTGGCCCATCTGTGAGTTAAAGGACAAAAATAGGAACAAAGGTTCAAATGCTCCTCCATGTTTGGTACAAGACACACTGAAGAAAAATGATTGCTCACTATTGTTGCCCTGTACCGTATAATTCTTTTTTTTTTTGGACAACAGCAGAATCAGAGTTTAGGTAAGGCCAAGTAACGTTGGACATCTTGAGACATCTAAGAAATGGTACATGGTTTGAGATTTTTTATAAAGCAGGGTTAAATTAGAATGACTTTGGCTTAGTTGGTGTTTTCCACATGCATTTCCACAAGCCACCAGGATGTGTCAACACAACCCAACGTAAGGCAGGGTCATTTTTCAAGGCAGCTTTCATCGACAATCCAATTCAAATGCTGTCTATCAACAAAACATAAAGGAAAACACAGAGTAAAGTGTGCTGGGGTTGAATAACTGAGGTACGTAATGGAAATTTTGTCTAAAACCTGATCTGATGATGTTTCAGTCAACAGCTTAAATAAAATAGTAGCTCTTAAGAAATATATATGTATCCTTGTTTTAAAGAAACAGGGTTTCATATTTGTACAGTTTTCTGGACGTTTGTTCCAGATAAGGGGAACATAATAACTAAAAACTGCTTCTTCATATTTGGTTCTGGTTCTGGGTTTACAAGAGCAGACTAGAGTCAGAATGTCTAATTCAATTTTAGGTAAGGCTGTGAAGACACTGCTGCTGTAATCAATTCTACTAAAGATAAACCTTGTTTTATAATCCAGGAAGTGTTCTTCAGGTGACATAAGTCCGACTTTACTACTGTCTTTATGTGCCTCTGAAGATTCAGGTCCAAATTCATCACTATGCCCAAATTTCAGGGCCTAATTAGTGATATTTAGCTGTACTAACTGAAGACCATAATGAGAAGAAACCCACTTTACCAATGAAACCTTCCATTAAATGGGATGAAATTTCAATAAACTGCATATTCAAGAAACCAGACTAAATAATGAATCTTTAAAATAGTGTCTCTTACCTCAAATCCATGTTTCCATCCAGACAGTAGCAGACAATGTTTGAACTGGTTCCTCCAGGACAGCATCCCGTAATGATGATGAGGAGGACCTACTAGAAAGAGAAAGCACAAAGACTGCAAAGTGCATGATGCCAAAAGGGCAGAGGAAGCCGATGCCCAGGGTCTTTTGCTGTGGCCCCATAGCTTTGGGATATCCATGGTGCGTCCCATGGCAAATAGGACAAAGGCCAGCGCAGCCATGAGCACATTGCTTAACTTTAATGCTGAGAATTGCATTAAAGTTACAAAAAAAAGAAAGTGTCTGCACTTTTACAGACTATGGCAGAGAATATTTCTAGTACAGCAGCTGAGAGCATCATTGTGAACAAAAGGAGAGGATTTTCTTCTGAGATACTAGATAATGATACCATTATCTAGATAATGTCCCTCCGTCCCGGTCCAGGCGATGATGGTGCCAGTGGGGGGAAAGTGACTCTCTCCTCTCTTTATGCCCAAACCACTGCAGTGAAACAAAGTTGGGAGGGATGATCCAGTAAGAAAAGATCAAAAATTAACTGAAACTTAACTTTTTATGGGGTCAGTGTTCAGAGGATGGAGCATATAAATAGAAAATCCTCTGAATCATGGAATGTGATTGCTCTGCAACTTTTTATTGCCTCCGGGCAGTTAAAACTTTATTGGGTTGCTTTCTTTATACCCCTTTTCAGACATAAGCACTAAATTATACATACAGTGTAACTGTATTTATCTTAAATACGCATAATGTTACATATGTTATCA